TAGGTGCGAATTCAACTGACTGGTTTCCTTGATGAAGATTATTAAATTCTTAGAATAAAGTACATGAGTGATCAGAAGGCAAAAAATTTCCCCGCATTTTTTCTTTCATCTTATAATAGGGTTGAATTTTCTCTTTCCCTCTTCAAACCTATTATTTTGAAGATTCTTCTGTGAGTTTCAAACTAGCAAAATTAACTTTTTTATTATTAGGCATTTCTTTCCATTCAAAAAATTGGTCCATTTTTTCTATATATTCAATGAATTATTCAGGTTGCAGCTTACCTTCAAAGTCATGAACATCAGTTTTTATCCCATGATCCCAATTTCTATGACGTCTATTTTGATTCCTAGGGATTTCATCTTCACTCTGAGAGTGTTGAGCATTAGCAATGTTGACATTTAAGTTCGCCAGGGTGTTAGCCATATTGTTCAATTGTTAATGTAGCTCAGCTAATTGTTGCATCATTTGTTGCCAATATTCTTGATTGTTTGGATAGCCATTTTGATTTTAGAAAGAGAAGACTCACACACAAACCTAGGATTTACCAACCTAGGCTCTGATACAAAATTTGATGTAAGCTAAGTGGATTAAAAAAAATCAAAGGAGAACACAAAGGAAATTAGAACCTGACTCAATTCAACACTTAGTAAGCCAACACCAATCAAACTTGAAAACAAACAGAAGTTAAACACTAATAAAATTAAAAATAAAAACCACCCTCATAACAACCAGCTAGTGGTCACCTCACATGCATCAAAATAGTAGGTAAAATTATTAGTGCTCAAGGACATGCAAACCAGTGGTTCACCACAGCAACTTTTGGGCCAACGTCTACCACAAACTTCTCCGACAAATGCTAACAAACCGGCCAACCAACACCTTCAAATGCTTAAGAAGAAAGATACAAATGGGGTGAAAACTTGCAGAGAGAAGAAATAGACAAAAAGCTCGAGACGAAATTATAGAGAGGAGAAGAGAAAGGGGGACATAGCTCGCAAGCTATCAAAGAAGAAACCATCAGATTTTAATTTTTATCACTCACCAAAAATCTTCCCCAACAGCCACCAAAACTTCCCTTTTATAGCCACAAAAGAGAGACCAAAAGACAGCCTCAACCGCCCCAAAACAGCCAACCAGCGAAAAGGAAAAAAAGGGCATTTAAGGCTCCCAGAAACCGAACCACCACAACTAGGAACCGAGACAAAATCATGAATCGAGAGATCAAGGCATAGGAACTGAACAACCTAGCAGGCAGGGAATCGAACAGCCAAGCGGGCAGGAAACGAACAGCCCAGCAGGCAGGGACTTTTAAATTACCTAACCCACCTCCTCCTATCTCCCATTTAATGCACTTGATGCTCTCTATCTCTCCAAATCATTACCTCTCCCATGCAAAATAAAAGGAAAAAATTCAAAATTGCTCCATCTAGTTTTCCTCTCACTTATGTACAATAGCCATGGGTTGGCAGCCCTCCACCCTCTCAGGCAATGCATTGCAGTCAATACGTCTCTCCCTTGGTGTCCTTTGGCCCTGAGCATTCTCACAGACATTTAGATTCATATTATGACACTTTAGCTCTCACGTGAGAGAGAGCTTTGATGCTTCAGTCTATCCTCTCTTGCAGCAACCGCCTTCTCAACTCCATTTCGTGAGAGTTGTCGGTCTATCTCTTTTGTTGTTGTCTCTGTTGCTCTCATAAGAGCCTCCAACTTGCCACAACTGCTAGCTTGCCCCTTCATCAGCCTGCTTGTGCATGCCCCACAACATGCGTTGCATGCATTCCTAAACTAGTCACTCCACCGACGTCTCTCTTTCTCTAGAGAAAACTATATGTTGTTTGTCTCGGGCTCTTGCTCACACAAGCATATTCATGTGCAGCTTTGCCACTATCGCTACTTTGCGCACCCGTACGCAAGTCAACACCCCCCTTTGAACACCAATACACCTGCACGTTCCACCAATACCAATGCTCATCTTTCTTCCAAGGACTCATCTACATCACATCACTGCCTTTCACCTCATCCATAAGAGAGGCCATCTAGAATTTCAGATCTTATAGTCACAACCCATTAAGTGGAACATTTTCAACACATTCTCACTTTTCTCTTAAGTGTGTGCTTTCCCGATCATCATCAAGTGCACCACTCAATAGCACTCCCTTACCTACCACCCCAAGGCAGTAAGAAAGGTTCAACATCCCCTTAATTAGACCCTTTGGATAATATTGATGTTCTTTAGAATATATTAAGATTTACTTCTTAAATTCCTTAAAAAATAAATCCATAAAAATCTCATAATTATTAAAAAAAATGTTTAAAAAGCATCAAATGTGTTAAAGATCATTAACATGGCCTTTTGGGCATTTTGACGTGACACTCCACCTTAGTGTAAGGTCTTCACATCACGAGCATGGGGCCTTAGGGTAGCTCAGTTCTCCATGGGTGAAATGTGCTCATTCTTATGATCTTATAATCTTTTTATCCCCCTAAACATAGTGATGTAGAACGGTGGGGAGCAGGGGAAAATTAAAAAATAAAAAATTTGAAATTCAATTTCAGATTTCTCTTTGAATTTGAAATTCAAATAAAATGGAGGGAAGGACAAAAAGTGATTAATTATTCCCCTAATTGGATTCCTTAATAAGGAAGGAAATAATTAAAGTAGAGGAGAGAGGGAGGTAGGCCAAGAGAGAGGGAAGGAAGAGAGAGAGGTGACTAGATTCAATGAATGTATGAAGAGGTGTCTAGGTTCGATGAATGTAGGAATTTTGAATTGATTCCCAATCAATTTCAGATTTAATCATTCCTTGATTGAGAGAAGACTTTCCAAAATTAAACTAAACAATTTAGGAAAGAATTTGAATTTTCAAATTCGTTTGAATTTGAATTCAAAAACTTACTAAAATTAAAACGACTTAATTTAGAGAAAAATAAATTTAGAAAGGAAAAAGGGTGGGGCTAAAGCCGGCAGCTAGGAGTGTGCAAGGTTTAGATTGGGCGACAGTTTTTGGAGGGAAATACAATTTCAAAATTTTGAATTTGACATAGGAGGGAATCAAATTCAAAATGCTGAAATTAATTTAGTCATAGAGGTGGGAGTAATTGGTGGGATTGGAGGCTTAATTAGGGGAGCATTAATGGGCCTCTTAATTAGGTGATTTAAAGCTTGCCAAGTGGAGAATCTTAAATTAGGAAGGAGTATTTAAATCAAATCCTATTGGAATTTGAAATATGTTTGATTGGAATACTTTCCTAAAATAAGATAACTAATTTAGGAAAGGATTTGAAATTTAAATTCAAAAGCTTTCTAAAATTAAAACAAATTCAAATAGGAAATAAAGGAACTAGGATGAAAGGGCTAAGGGAAGTGGCGACTTGGTGGAGACAGTGGCGGTTTGGTGGGGTTTTACGGTGGAAATGGGGAGGAGACCGGCGGTTCGAAGAATGGGAGGGTGGTGGCTGACGGTTGAAAAGGAAAAGAGGTGGGTAGCCGGTGGTGGGGAAGAGGATGGGAGGTAGAAAGCCGGCGGCTATGGGAAGATTTAGCTAGCGGTTAAAGGAGAATGAGGTGAGGGATTAAAGAAAGAAAATAAATCGTGAGCTTGGGCACTTCCTGTGGCTGACGGGTGATGCGTTGCCTTTTACTAAGGGACTTCAATCACGAGCACAGACACATCCTGCGGCTAGTGGATATTCCATTGCCCTCACATAGGAACTTCCACTCTCCTAAGAACTCCTATCGCTCTTAAGAACAAAGTGTAAAAAATATTTTTTTTATTAATTCATCATTGATCTTATACAAGAGCAAGGGTCTCTATATATAGGTCTTAAAAGAAACTAAAAGACAACTTTGCCCCTTGGGCTTATATAAGACAAGACGCTTAAGGGTAAAAACAGAAATGCATAATTAAAAAAAAAAAATACAATTAATAAAATAAGATAAAATGGATAAATCTAAGCCGCGATCTTAGTCTCTTCCTTTGATTAACGTCCACCGTCGGATGTCCGCATCACATAGGTTCTAGGACTTCAAGGTGGGCCCACAACTCTTGATTTCTTCATAACATATCCCTTCTCACCTAAACATAGATTCTTAGGCAACTGAATGGTCAACCTTACAGTGAACCATGTTCACTCCTTTGGGTTGTTCATTTTCCTTAATGATGGAACCCATAATAACAACAAAATAATTTAGTTAATCCTATATATAAAAGTTATAGATTAGGATTAACTTGGAGTTAAGGTCTTGTAGTTAAAATAAAAAAGTGTCTCCGAAGTATAATGGGATAAAAGGATATCATGGAAACTTACAGGCAACTGTTATAATGTTGTACTAAATTATATGAATTTAAATGTTTGGCAATAACAAGTTATTTATTGCTAAATTGAGAGTCAGCAAATGGAGAATATTAAAATGAATTTATAGCAAAATTAAGGATAAAATATCAAAATGTATATTAGGGTGACAGTTGGGGTTGCATCTATTGAAACTAATGGGGCAATACGACTCATTATTAGTGCAACTTTCTAATGTAACTTATATTATAAATAGAATACATATATGCAAAATAATAATTATAATTAATACTGAAAAAAAATACATATATGCAAAGAGAATTGAGAATTCATATTTCATAAGCAAACAAATAATTAAACCACATAGTTTCTTTAAATATATGAAGAGAATACAAGAATTAAAACTAAATTGATAATTAAATTATCAAAATAATTTGAGAAATTCAAGGAGGAATTAGAACCAAAATAAAATTAGCGTGCAATTATAATTTAATTTCCCAAAATAAATTTTCGATATATTAAATTTTAAAAAAGAAATTCCAGAGCACTAATCAAGCTAAAATATCAAATAACGTATGTAAAATAAACCAATGAACAAAAGTATCAAAATAAGAAAAAATAAAAGCCTCATGCCAATATAAGAAGATTATTTCCTCCAAAATTGGGTAGTTGCATTTAAACAACACTCAAAAGAATCACAAGGTTGAAAACCAGCAAGATAAATTTCATTCAAATCAAAATTAATCAATTGCATACCTTAGAACATATATTTATACACTCCGAATCCCCAAAACTAGAAGATATAGTTTGCTCAAGATCAACTCAATTCATGTTTAAATTAACCATAAAAATATAAAATTAGTTCCAATAATATTTAAAACCTGACTTCTTATGCTAAACGATTGGCCACAATAAGCCCAAAGGACGTTTAAGTAATGCTTGCACCTACTCACCCGTCCAATACTGCAACTTTCACGACCTAGAAACAAAATCAGGATTATAAGCCAAAACAACATATGCACATATGCGCCTACAATAAAGAAATATGGAAAATAGGAAAAAGAGGCAGACCATGCACAACAACATCAAAAAATCTAAATTCCAACACCCAAAGTGATACAACCAAAAAATATAAAGCCTACTAGGTATGCAAATAATCGCTTCCGTTCCAAATAACTTAAACAAACATAACAACAATAAAAAACATGACAAAACAAACTTAAACAAGACACAACGACACCTTACAAATTTTTGTATTTTGAGGAGAAAGATACAATGGGGTGTAAACCATGGATAGAAGAAATAGAAAGAAGTTCAAGACGAATTATAGAGGAGAAGGGGATAGAAGACTAGCTCGCAAGCTATACGAAACTCACATGTTTCACTTCAAAAAATCCTTCACAAATATCTTTTTTTAAAACTGCCACAAACATCACATTTAAATAGAGGGAAGAAACTCAAAAGACATTCAAAACAGCTGCCCAAGTCAACCAACCAGAACAGGGGAAAATGAGCCCAAAAGGCACCCAAGCAGCCGCCCAAAGAAGCCCACCTGAACAGCCAAAGAATCAGGAAAGTCAAGGGACAACAGCAGGAACCGAACAACCAAAGCCCAGGAAAACTAGGAAAGCCAGGAAACAGCAGCAGGAACGGAACAACCAAGGCCAGAGAACCGGGAAAGCAAGGGAACAAAAACCGAACAGCCAAGCCAAGTAGACAGCAGACAACTGTCCCCATCAAATCAGTCCAACCTTGCTTACATCACAAAGGAAAAGTAAAAACTTCAAATGTCGACCACCAACGGAGAACCACAATTCTGATATAACTATGAATTTCCATTACCAAAAGAAAAATCACGGCCAACACTTCCCAAAATATGCCTTCCAAGCACTACCTTATTTCGTCAAATTAGAATAATACAACATGATAATTAACCAAATTGAATCAAGATTGAAACGATACCAAACCATATTATCTAACCTACAACTAGAAAATAAAATACATCCCTCCCTTAGCCATCATCAATTCATGTTTTAACTACATAAATAACAAATAAAAGCAAACCAACCAATTAATAAACAAGTTAAGTATAAATCAAAGCTTGATGAGATGCTTGCCACGAGAATAAACATGATATCTCTATCAAATATGCAAGCTTGGACAAATTCTACTCCAATGAATTTAGTATTTTATATTCATCAGGCAAATTAGGACATATTGTACTTCTGCAAGATATTCAATGAATCAACACAAGAAAGTTTGTCTTGCCAACGAATACGACATATCTAGAATCGAACATTAGTAGTGTATACAACATCATCATTTAGAATAGCCTCAAGAATAAGTTACATAAAAGTATCAGATAGTGAAGTGAATGTGAACTCGTTAGTAAGAGGTTGAAATTGATAGTAAGATCATGAAATAAGATCAATCAAACATATTGAAATTTGAATTTATATAAGAATTTCTTATAATCTCCAATATATATATATATATATATATATATATTAACTCCAATGTGTTGCAAAATTTTAAATGATTTCAATTTTCTTGCATTCAATTTCTTAAAGGTTCCAACATAAGCATTTTTGGAGTTGAATAAACCACAAATTTATCAATAATTTTAAATTCTACATACCTATTATTAACATTCGTAGAAAATTAATAATTATCAGAGGAAGTAGTCAATTTTCTATGAATATCCTCATAGAATAACGCATATGATGTGAGAATGATTATGCAAATACGTAAGTATAAACTCTAAATGAAATTCAACAAGATCAATAGCTTTCTATTATTTTACCCTGTGAATATTTACAAGAGACTAATTTCAATATACCAATTAATAGATGAATTGTATGAAAACTCAGCCATAGCCAATATCAAATCCCACCTATATGCATGATCTTTAATCTAAAATGTCACTTATCTCCCATGCTTCTATTTACTATTTTAATTTTTCCATCAGTTTTTTTTATAATTAGTTAAGTCATCTTTCCTTCTTTTTCTAAGTACATCTCCAACATTTGTATCGACCAAACATAATTAGGCATAATTGTTTTATGTATGCCATGTAATTCAGCTATAGTATTCAAATACAAATAGCCATATAAGATGCATCAATAATTTTACCATAGAATATGACATAATTTTTGGAAAAATAATCTACCGCAAAAAAAATAGAATCATGCTTCCTCAATATTAGTGATAAGCATAATAAAAATTTCACACTAACGCCCTCCCATAGTTTATGAAAATGATGAAGGTGGATAAAATCATTTATTATGTTTTTTTTATGTTTAGTAGACTGAGAATTCCTACATAATTAAATAATATATGCAAAAAACTCTTTTTAGATCTAGCCAAACACACAAGCATATATAAACATACATATATTTGTGTGTGTCCTCCTCAATTATTAATACTTAATGATCTCTACCAAAAAGTGTCCAACAAAGCCCCCAATATATAATTCTAAAATAAAAATCTTTCAATAATGAATCAAGAATATAAAAGAGAAAATAGAGACATACTTTTAAGAAAACAATCATCTTCAATCATGTATTCATTAGTAAGCAAAGATAAGTCATTATTTAAGTCTCGGTAAACCCCATTAAAATCTTTACAAGTGACATTGCTCCTCAATATGATCAAAGTTAGTCACATTAAATTGCACTGTATATAGAATATATAATCTCTACTCAAAACATCAATAATGCATTCTCAATTCCAATAGTATTAAGGACAAGAATATGCCTAGAAAAATTCAACTCGGTTAGAAACTTAGAATGCCTAAAATACAAACTCGTTACATAACAGATAATGCTTCACATAACAAAAATCTAATACAGTAACATAGAAAGCAGAGATAAACTTAAAAAGACTTGGTTAGAAACTATTAGAAATGACCCTTTTTTATTAGATTTAAATGAGAATTTGGCTCTTAACAGAAAACTAACGGAGAAAAAGGATTCATACAGCCAACCCCATGTAGTAGGATATAGGTTTATTATTATTGTTGTATTTGTTGTTATTGTAGTGACATAACTTTCTATCAAATTTAGAATAGTTCTATTTAGCTTCATTCAATTAAAGAATGCAATATGATATCCTTCTTAGCTTAATACTTGATGGGGACATCAGTTCGTGGAAGGTTTATCAGAGGCGTGGCCGCCGATCTATGGCCACGATCGAGTCTTTGTACTTTTGAGTTATTTATGTATTTTTCTATTTTCAGTGTCGTGTATTTGTTTTCCAATTGTACCCTTTTAGTGGGAGATGACGTATTTAAGCCCGGAGGGCAATTTTGTCTTTTATTTTCATGAGTCCCATGTACTTGGCTATTTATAGCCTATGTTTTATTTTTCAAGTTAATAAATGATTAATTGAGAATTTTGCCTTCTTGCTTGGAGTTCTTGAGAGAGCTTGAGAGATCGGAGAGAAATCCGTAGGAGAGGGAGAGCGCATTACCCACCAACCTTGTAGACAGCCGGGCTCGAGGTTCATTGTCTTTATCTTTTCATCCTCGTCCACCCTCACCTTTAAACCGCCGGCCATCTCTTCTCATCCACCTTATTTTCCCATCCCTAATTCCCCAAGCCCTTTTCCTGAATCACCCCATAATCTCCCCACTAACTCCATTCCCATTGGGTCGATCGGCCCCTTGGCCGAACCCCAACCATCCACCGCCCCCTTCCAGTCAACTCCACCTTGCTCCCTTGCCAAATTCGGGTTGCCAAATTTCGGGGCTGATTCGAAATTCAAACTCAAACAATTTGAGTTTTGAAATCTTTCCTTAATTAGTCAATCTATTTTTAGAAAGTTTCTAAATTGACACTATTTTGAATTCAAATTCAAATAGAGTCAATTAAATAATTTCCTAAATTCTAATCTAATTTAGGCAAGCTTGTACACTTGCCAATCAAACCCCACACCCCACCACCATGATGTCGTCGGCCCCTCTCTCCTAGCCCATTAATGCTCCCTTGATTATTTCCTAAACCCTAAGTCTTCATTTAGGAAATATTTCCAAATCTTATTTTCCCTACTTGGCCAAAATTTTCAAAGCCCTCATGCCATCTTATTTCTTTCCAAACCTAATAATGGGTTTTAGGAAATAAATTCCCTACTCCCTCCTCATTGCCGCCGACCAATTCCCCCATACCCGCCCCCTCTCTCTCAAATTCCCTCTTCCCCTTTAACTCCCCACTTGAGTTCTAAGCCTTCATCCTCCCTCCACTACCCCTATTTTTCTAAAGAGAGAAACCTGAAATCTCTCTCAGATTTTGGACAAGATCTAAAATTTGTTCTCAGATTTTGGGAGGAGATTTGTCACCTAGCATCTAAGAATGTTGGATCCAGAGTCTGAATACGGCCTAACCTACGACGATGACGGCTTCATGGATATTCTCCAGCCAACTTTCTTCAACGTTAATACGAAGGTCGATCACATCGTCGAAGACTACATCGAGCGTATTCTGGATACCTTGGTGGAGGCAATTGACGAGCACTTTGAAGAAGTTGAGTGGAGGATCTCCACTGCTCCTTGACGAGAGGTTCTCTTTTCCCCTTTCAATACATTTCTTGAATATAATCTTCTCTTGTAGTCACAAAGGACGACTCCTACTGCTCATGCTAAGCTTAGTAAACGTAGGATTTTGAGTGCACCCCTGTGCTGATTAATTCTCGTTGTTAGATTAGGGATTATATTGAAACTACTATTTTGGCATAAAGTGATTTACTAATTTACTTTGAAAGTTTTCCAACTCTCTGGTTATGTGATTTAGCCTAAGCGGGCGTCACCCCTTATTCGTTTTATTTCGTTATTTTGAGCTGCTATTAGTTCTTCATTTTATTCTAATCAAGAGTTGTGTAAATTCCTAATGAATTGATTGCATTCATACGTAGTCCTGCATCATCTAGTATCAGAGCATGGTATGCTCTTGCATGTTTTAGGATTCCTGGTAGTTTCCTTTCCTG